GTTTGAGAATCACTGCCTTAGGAATAGAGAAAAGGCAAGCTGTTTGGGGCGGTTTATCATGATGATTCAGGACTCATTATCCATCCCACAAATATTTATTGAACGCCTACGATGTCAGCTCTATGCCATGGAGCCTGGTGTATGGCGACTGCCAAACACGGCTGGGTCATTAAAACATCCCAGCTAGTAAAACAACTGAATGGGAAATGAGACGATGAGGTCTGACTTCTGAGGACCGAATGCAGAACAACCTGGATAAAATCACGTCTGGGTAACTTGCCCCCCCCCGACCTGACGGATGATAAAAGAATATAATACACAGGGCTTTAGTAGGAGTCTGTTTGAGAGCATAATTATTGCAATATGGGTTAGAAAAGAACCATAATAATAGACCATAAAAATAGACTATGGCTTTTGACTAGTACATCAGACCAGATCATACTAGTTGATAGAAGTAATGCCTGTGTGGTAGAGTAGTCCTATTTAATAAAAAAACTATCACCAACACCCACACAGAGAGGAATGAGGAAGGTATGCTGTTTGCAAAGGGCTAAATGTGGGAACTGTAGAGCATCAAAATAAAGCAGTTGAGGTTCACACACTTATATATACACACCCACTCAACATAGATTTTATTAATCACTTAAAACTTATTTTAGCGTCCGCCATTTTACCTTACGGCTTTAATTTCAATATTAGGTCGCCGAAACATTTGGTCCACGGGATCCATAGCACGCAATACATTGATACCGATTCGTTTATGTTTAAGAAATAAAATAGTAAAATGACAGACAAACATATTGATGGGCTTGAATTTATGGGCGAAGTCAGCATTTTGATGGACTAGAGTTGTGATAATGGTAGAAAAATAGTTTCTTTTCATACTTACGAGGGAGGGCTTGGTCAGTCTCCTTCCTCATTTTGGCTTATTAATGAAATCTCCTTTAACTTTTAGCAGTAGCACTTCCAATCTTGATCATTTCTGTTAGTTGGACATTAATTGTTATCACAAATGACTACTTACAAATGTATTCATATGCAACTTTCCCATTTTACTGTCATGTATTCTTAATATTGGCTAGTAATATTACTAATATTGGCACTCTTTTGTTACTTTGGCAATTAAATCTGTTATGTGGTGTCCAAGAAAGATTCATCTTTTAGCAAATGCTTTTTTATAAGTAGAGTATAGTTAATATTAGAGTGAGAGTTCAGTCATGCTTGCCCACAAAACCTTCTCCCACTTCCAAACACACACATTTAAATACATGGCCATTCTCCACAATTTGAAAATGTCTTATGGGCCTCCGTACTGATCAGTGTAACACAGGAGTGAAGGAGCTGAGGACTGATATTCATACGTCCATTGTAAAGGAGGGGAAATTGAGGCCCGAAGCAATTAAATGACCTGGAAACGGTCAGGCAGGTCAAGGCCACAGAGACAGGAAAGATCCAAGAAAGCATTTAAAATAATTTACTAGAAAAACAACGCATATTTAATTAATGGGTAACCCAATTAGTCTGTTGTTTATTCTATCTTGGATCAAAATCATTTTTTTTAGCTTGGAAGTCACCCTTTATTTTGAGGCTTAGAAGTAAGTTACCAGCATTTACAGGAGAGAGGAGGGGTGCTCTATAAATGATGGCAAAATCAAGTGAATAATGAGATATGAGAAGTTATTTTAATTGCTCATGACTTTTTTCAGACAAGGGCAAATGGAAAGCTTCTAAAGATATTTGTGTGTGTGTGTGTGTTTCTCCTTCTACATATAATAGAGTAAAAGACTTTAAACAATATGGCTGTAAAAAGAAGGAAAGCTGTAAAATGATGCTAAGTCACTGTGTTGACAGCTGACCAATGGGAAGTAGTACAAATGGAAATTGAAAAGAGAATTGCTTGGTGAAAATTGTATGACCAGAAGAAATAGTGGTGTGAAGAGGGTTTATATTTTAAAATTTGTTTTGTTTTTTAATATTTGACTAGTAGCATTATCTAAGGCAAGTCTTTTCACTTTGTGTTTCATAAAAGCAAAGAATATATGTGAAATATATTAGTGTTTGGGGGGAGGGTATAATGGCCTACAAATTAGAGTTGG